CACTTCCCTGACTGCTCCGTTATCAACCAGCTTTCGAATCTCCTTGTCCATGGCTTGGGCCCTTTCAGTGGAGGCTCCCCTTAACTTTTGGCGGACAGGCTTGTATCGCGGATCGACATTGAGGTGGTGGGTAGCTACTTCCGGGTTGATGCCCTCAAGGTCCTCATGCGACCAGGCAAAGATGTCCATATTATGCTCCAAAAATTAATCAACAGGGGAGCCAGCTCTTCAGAAAGGGAAGAGCCAATGTAAATTCTTCTGTCTGGGTGCTCTTTTTTTAAGACCACAGGGATGAGTTCCTCGACTGGTTCTCCTCTTTCTGTGGCGGAGTCATCCCTTGGGTCAAGGACCTCAACTTGCAATGCTTCTTGGGGCTTCCTAGCCTTTATAGAGGATACATAGCACTCTCTGGCTGTTATTTGGTCCCCTTTGACCTCTCCGACTCCATTTAAGGTTGGAAAGCGGAGAACGAGATGGTAGGTAGAGGGCACAGCTCTTAATGTGTTAAGAGCTGGTCGCCCTAATATGATGTTGTAGGCCGACGGACATTCTATTACCAGGAAATTGACCATGACTGTGGAGCTTCGGGGTGTTACTCCGGCGGTGACGGGAAGTGTGATGGATCCAAGGGGATACACTTTTTTCCCTGAGAATCCAATGAGGGGTGACCTGATTGGCTGTAGCCTCTCCCTGCCCAGGTTGAGCTTGTCATAGGCCTCTGCAAATAGGATATCTGCAGAGCTGCCACTATCTACCAGGATCCTGTGCACATGAAAGTTGGCCACCGTCATGGTGAGCACCAAGGGGTCATCATGGGGGTGTTGAATTTCCTCCAGGTCCTTGTTTGAAAAAGATATGACCTCGTCGCTTTCCTGCTTCGGCACCTTAGATGGGCGCATCTCGTAGACATGTCTTGCCTTCCTGGCATGAGCCTTCATCGCGGAAAGTGATTCTCCTCCACCTGCTAGTCCCCCCGAGATAGTGTGGATTTCCCCCACAGGCTGCTGATCTTCCTGGTTGTGAGGTTGTGGTTCACGTTCCCTTCCAGCAACGTATTGACGCAAGTGACCACGCTGGATGAGCTCCTCAATTTGCCTCTTGAGGTCGTAGCAATCGTCGGTGTCATGCCCGTGATCACGATGGAAGCGGCAATACTTGTTAGGATTTCTGCGATTTGGAGGAGACTTCATTTTTCCAGGCCACTTTATCGCGGGGTCATCCTGGATCTGGAATAGGATGTGTTCCACGGAAGCATTGAGGGGAGTGAAAGGTTGACGGTTCCTCTGAGGAGCAGGACCTAGCCGGTCCTTGACAGGGACTTTCTCTGTCCTGCCATATTTGTTGCTGGTTTCCTTCTTATCGTCCTTCTCTCTTTCCTTCCTTTTCTCACCCGCTCTGGAAGACTCACCCCGCCTGGCCCTTGTGATGTCTTCTGCGTTTATGTATTTTTGGGCCTTGGCTAGCAGCTCTGGCATGCTCTTCGGTGGGCGCTTCAGAACTGAGAAAAGGAAACTTGATGAACGGAGGCCACCCAAGAAAGCGGTCATTGTCACCTTGTCGTCAGGTTCATCAACTTGGAGTACCTCCTCGTTAAAACGAGTGAGGTAACTCCTCAGGCTCTCCTCGCGGTCCTGCTTTATACTAAGCAGGTGTGTAACTGGTTTCTGGTGGCGACGCCCTCCTATGAAGTGTGAGACGAATGATCTGCTAAGCTCGGCGAAAGAGGCAATAGAGGCGGGGGAGAGCTTAGCAAACCACTGTCGGGCAGACCCCTTTAATGTGGTTGGGAATGCCCTGCACATGATTTCGTCTGGTACGTTGTGCAATTGCATCAAGGTCTTGTAAGTGTCGAGGTGGTCCAGTGGATCCTTTGTTCCATCAAAGGTCTCCACAGATGGCATCTTGAACTTCTGAGGAAGGGGGTAGTTTGCTACATCAGATTTGAAAGGGGTATCAGTACGCCTTACCAGGTGGTCAACAGTCTCGGGTCCCTGTGCCTTCATAGCGTTGAAGACATCACCGAGTTGATTTTGTACCTCCTTTATCTTCTCGTCCCAATGATTGGGGGCTCCTCTGGAATGATCATGGAAGTGGCTTCCATGCCCCATGCTTTGGTTTTCACCCTCATCCTCCTGGAGATAAGGGTCATCTCCGTGGAAAGCAAGGGGAGGGGGAGGTGCAGCTCCCTCATGTTGGGCTTCCTGAAGTGGGGTGCCCAATGGGGCACCTGGGCGTGGTGCTCCTTGATGTTCAGGATGTGGAGCTCCTTGGGGTGCTCTATGTTGTGCACCTCTGTGGGGCCCTCCATGTTGTGCACCTCCATGTGGTGCTCCACGTTGTGCACCTCCATGTGGTGCTCCACCTTGGGGTCCTCCATGTTGTGCACCTCCGTGTGGTGTTCCTCCTTGTCCTGCAAGTATGAGTTGCAGTAACTGTTGGTTTTGAGCAACCAGTTGCTGCATGGTCTCCAATATTTGTTGGGGATTCGGGACCAAAGTATCCGGAACAGGGTTGGCAGGCGGGGGAACAATCTCCTCCTCTCGTGGAGGATTGTCTTCGTGTTGGTTCATGGATCGAGTAGTGATCGCCATTAATTAATGGACGTAATGTTCAGGAGTGAGAATTTTGTCGCTTCCCACAGACGGCGCCAAACTGATGATGCACAAAAATGGTTTTGCACACCACCTGTCAAGTATAGATAATAAATGCAATGAAATCAACGAAAGAATTAAAAAAGACACAATTTATAGTGGTTCGGTCAATTCGACCTACGTCCACTCTTCAATGGCTTCAGTCGCCGGGTATTTTATTGATTCAAGGGTATGGAGAATGGAGATACAAGCTTTGAGAGGGAGAATGGAGAATCAAAAAAAATAGTAATCTCCGGTAGTCGGTTCGTCTTCTGTAAGTCTCTGATGGAGCATGTGTGTCCCCCTCCTCTCCCAGATTAGAGCCATTTTATAGTAGCTAAGAGATAATTCTTGTGGAGATCATGACATATCCTCAAGGCTTCTTTATCGCAGCTTAGAGATTATCTTTGGTGGAGATCGCGACTTATCCTCCACGGAAGGAAGAGGTTGGGGGAGCTCTTCATGAAACGTGGTCAATGATTGGACCGTTTTCTTCCTTCGGTGGTTGCAGATAAACTTCCCGTGCTCTCCTCTTGGTGACGTGCTAAGCAAGAAGTCTAGCCAGCCTTGGGCTCCTTAAGGCGGTGCAGATAAACTTCCCGTGCTCTCCTCTTGGTGACGTGCTAAGCAAGAAGTCTAACCGGCTTTGGGCTCCTTTGGCTTGGTGGATTCACGATAAAGTTGGGCTCCTCAACCGGGGTTGGGCTTTAATACATAAATTGGACTACTTGGGCTCAACCCATCAAACCCCACCCACCCCTTTGGTTTGTCGAAACCATTGTACATGATTTTTACTTACGGACCTATTAGGGGGCAGAATTCAAATTCCAGACTTGAAATTAAAATCAAATAAGGAATAAGGTGACGCATTGAACAATTTTGATAAAATCTATTCTATAAATCCCACCTAAACCCATGGACCAAACATGTCCCCTCTCCGTGCATCCTTAATTCCACGAGTTGGAATTCAAAATGGGAAAGATATCTTTTTTTTTTTTTTTTATATATTATTATAATAAACAAATTAGTTGAGAGAAAGTTTGAGACGCATTCGTTCAAATTCTTTATTTTCTTGAATATTATTTTTATTAAACAAAAGACAAAATTTTTATGATAAAATAAGTTCCAAATGGTAAATGTAATTGATTTAATTAAACCAAATAATAGATTTCCCCCAATCCAAATCTTATACATAGTACCAATAAGCACACATCCAAGTATTCACAGCTTTGATAAATTTTCACTATCTATTATCTTTTAATGTTCACAACTTCCATAAAATTTGGGGTGATTATATATTTATGTTTTAATTAGATAAGTGCAGAAAAAAAAATTCACAAAAAAATTAAATTTCGTGTATTGCACGTAGGACCCACTAGTTAGTTAGTTTTAAGGGCGCAACTAGAAGAAATTGGGTGGGTCGATGGGTTATATCGGTTCAAGTTCAACTTAATATATGAAAACCTCTAAACCAAACTCAACTTTAGCAATTTTAACCCGAGCCCAACTAATGATTAAGTTTTTGAATTTGAGTTGCAATTCAAGTTAAACTTGAGTTGATATCGGTTTTTTAATTAATCAAATCCAAATTGAACAAAAATAGGTTTAGTTTTGTGTTTAGTCCTAAAATTGAAGCTAAAAATTATATATTTTTTCATTATCAAAGCTAATTAGCAACAAAAAGAATAAATCTCACATCTGCAAAATAGGATTCAAACATTAATAACAATTATTGAGGGTGCAACACAAATACTTTAAAATCTCTTATATATATATATATAGTTTTTTTAAAAAATTTGGGTTAAATTTGAGTTTACCCCTTAATTTTTTAAATTCGAGTTAAATTTGTCAATTTGAATTCCAACTCAAGTAGAGCCCGAATTAAATTTGAATTGAGATTTTTTGGTTCAAATCCAATGTAAATATTAAAAACATCAAATCTAACTATTAAAAAATTCATAATGAATTTGAGTTGAGTTCAAGTTAATCCCGTACACTCGTACTCAGCCTATCATGTGATTCTTGTACGTGCCACAATCTTATTTGTCATAATTGAGTTCCACAATTGTTATCTTGGAATAGAAAAAAATATTGAAAATTTCCCTAATTTTTTTTTAATTTTTTGCAATTATACTAATAGTGAATTATTCCACTTTTTTTTTTTTTGCAAAATTCCTAAAATAATAATCCAGTTAAAGAAGAAATCAAATATCAAATACCAGACTAGACTTCAGTTCTGCCCAACAGAGACACCGCCGGTTTGGCCAAAACTATATAAACCCTATTCCCCGCCCAAAAACCCCTTCTGAGAACCCCTCTTGTGTGTATTCCCAAAACCAAGACTCTCTCTCTGTGCGAGGGGGAGGTGAGATGGCCGTAGACAAGAATAAGCTAGAAGATGAAGCGAGTATTCATCGCTTCTACAAAATAGTTCTCAGCTGGGACTATCTTCGCCTTCTCAATGAATCTGGCGTATTTACTTCTTTCGACTTCTCTCTCTCTCTCTCTCTAAATATGTATATTCAGCCATTTTAATTGATGCTGTGATTCGTGTGATTTTTATTTTGGAGCAGAAAAATAAGAAGAAGATTGGGGATGGAAGTGTTCTGGGTCTGACTCAAGTAAAAAATACATACAAAGATGTTGATGACTATACTGCAACCTTTGAGCCACTACTTTTTGAAGAAGTTAAGGCTCAGATACTTCAAGGAAGAGACGAGGAAGAGGGTATTGAATTTTTATTTTTATTTTCGTTTATTTTGTTCATTCGTTTTAGTATTTATGATTTTTCCAGCTTTAGAGCATGCCCATTAATCGATTTTGCTCGATTTTTCATTATCTCTTGGATTTATAGGCGTCCTGGAAAGAATTATTCAATGGCTGATGTATTGGCACTTTAAAACAGCTTTAGTCACTCATTTTCTATGACTGGAATAGTGTAAAGTTTTTGTTTTTGGAGTAATAGGAAATTTGGTCACTTTTCGGTTTGTGTAATTGGAAGGTCTGAATTAAACAGAGAAGGCTATCATTCTCTCTTTTCTCATGTGTTTTGTATGTCTTTTTTGGTCATAGCAGAAACAGAATGGACCACCTGTATTGTATTAGAATGCTCCGAAGATGATTGTTTTCACTTAGCTATGGTCTTTTGTGATCACGGGGCATCAATATCGCAGAATGATCTGCTATTGATTTCAACAAAGAAGGTAGTTAGTCAGTTGATTGTGTTCAGATATTGTCTATTTTGTGCTTTCAGAATGGTGCTTCTGTTCGGTGCTTTTAGAATTGTGTTTTTCTTTCTGTGTGTTTGTTGATATTCTAGCAAACAGATAATAAAGCCTGTTTATTAACTTTATTTGCACATCGCCTAATCTCCTAAATATGTTTGTTTAATTAACTACCTTTATTTGCTCAGAAATCTCTTTTATTTTACGTGTATGGTGGGTTTCTTTTTGCAGTTTGGAGAGGCCAAAGAACTTCCAACTACATATGCGTTTGCATTGGTTGAGCATCGTCAAGGAGACAAAATCAGACTTAGAATGAATTTAAGTGGAGAGGTCAACCAATTAAATACAACTCAGGTCGAAACATGCCCGAGGCTGTTGAATATGTGTTCTGTTGTTGGTCAAGTCAATAAACCCTTGCACATTCTGAAGGTATCCTTCTATCGTAGAATGATTTCTGTTCCCAAACGATTTAATTTATATGTTATTATACTTTAGCTCAAAAAAAGATGTTATTTTACTGGGCAGAAGGTGTACGGTGTATGGTGTTATTTACATCGCTACAGCATTAGTGGCAAAAACATGCCCTTGCTCAGTTTAGCTGGAATTTCTGTTGGAAATAAGAACTATGCGAGAAGGGTATACAAAAATTGATGCTTTTATGTTGAACAGGATTGAAAAAGTAATTTGGGACCTATATTTTGTATTCGGTAAACTTCCGTAAGATAGATGAATGGTGATAGGCTCGGCCTCTCAAGCATGAGCACTTATTAGACTCTTAAAGTAGCCACTTGGTACAAATATACCAAATATTATGTCTGAATCCAGCTAACCTCTCGGTAAGCGGGACCACACAGAGTAATAGCCTCTAGTGGTGGTATGTTAGAGTGCAGATGCTAACTGTTCTCAGTGAATTCCTTTTTGTTGCCTATCCACTAAATGATAGGGAATGCCATTTTCATTTCATATGGTCATTCAGTTTGTTTTTTATTCCATTCATGCACATCAAATGTCGAGCAACAGCGGCAACCTTCTTTATTGCTATTTTTCTCCTTGCTTCATCTTCCTCCTCCTTGCTGTCACTATCACATGGTTATGATCATTTTTTTCTATTTATTTTACCAGTTTTACGCAATAAATCGACTGCACTTGCATTACCCCCAAACACAATCACAGGATGGTCTTGCGAATAAATTTGGTATTTTAAATCTAGATCAGTGTCCAATGATGCCATATAATTTGCAGATTTGCAGCCTATCAAGCATTGCGCGTGAATACGTTGCTCTGCGGTCAGTTAGTTCCCTCCCTTTTAGAGATTTGATATTAACAGCTGCTGAAAGCAACTATAGCACTGAAGATCGTGCCTGGAAAATATCTAAACCCCTAATGGAGTTTATAAGAGGCAATCACAATCCATCTCAACTGGAGGCAATACATGTGAGTTTGTAATCAGATTATGTTATCCTGTTCCACCTATTCTCAATCCAGTTTAGCTGCCTGTGGGTAGAATTCGTTTTTATTAGTCGTATGGTACCACATATTTTATGACACATATTCAGGTTAATGTAGTTTTTAATACCTCATCCACCCTCCTTTTTCTTCTCCTACCCTTTCTAGCCCGTGGCCAGAATTCAGTTGTTGTTAACTGTGGGTTACCACAGATTTTATGGCACATATCAGGTTGATGTAATTCTTAATATTTCACCCACCCTCTTCTTTATCCTCCTATCATTTCTCTCACATGCATTCTCTATCACTTTTTTGTATTTCCCTAGCATACATTTACTCAATTCAATTATCTTGTTTATTGCAGGCGGGCCTTTCTCGTAAAACCTTTGTCCTGATACAGGTTTGACATTTGCCTTTAAGCTACTAAATGTTTGTTACATATCATTATAAATTTTAGTTGCAGTATCCAATTATTATATTTCTCATTTCTCAAGCAAACAACATTTCTCAAGCAAACAAATATTGCTCATTCTGTCTAATAATTACCAAAAATCTTATATCACATTCTGAAAGTTCTACATGTGTTGCTACTTATGTGGTTTAGTGATATATTTTGTCGACAGCACATGTTAAATGTTCTAGTCACTGTAGGCATAGGAGATAAGCCTAACACATCCTGGGATACTCTTGAAATGAATATTTGGTTTTTGAGTATGATGTGTTATTACGTGAGCATATGTGGTATCGATTTGTTACCTTTATTTGAGCATGTGGAACCTAATAGCATGCTTGCTTCTAGGGCCCCCCAGGAACAGGAAAAACGCAAACTATCCTTGGGCTCCTTAGTGCCATTCTGCATGCAACTCCTGCAAGAGTACACTCTGACAAGTAAGTATCTCATTTTGTCTGTCTTGTTAAATCATCAACTGGTTTTCATAGAATTCTCTGGTTGTTTGTGTTTGCTGAGGTGTTGTTGGGGCAAACAAATAACTATGAATAGAAATATTGTATTCATTCACTTCTTTAATAGATTAATTCAATTTCCTTCTTTATGCAGGGGGAAAATGTGTGGAATAAAACGTGAGCCAGAATTACCCATTCATGAAAAGTATGTTTTGGTGCTTTTCTTTTTCTTTATCAATATTGCTTTGGATTCTTTTCTCTTCATTGAGGATGACCTAAATGGCTTCTTCTGTTGTGTAGGAACTCCTTTCATTCATGCTTTTTCTCTTTTTCCTTATATATTCTGTATTGCAATTGTTTCTAGGTTTGGTTGTAAGTGGGGTTTGGACTTTGGAATAATGCAACATCTTGTTGATTTAACGAGGGCTTGGTTATGGAAGGTTTCTAAAGTTGGGATTTTACTTGGTCGAAGGAAGGTTCTAGAGATCATGTATGAGCAGAGGCTAGTAATTGCTTAATTTCATCAGTGCTAGGTTGCATGAAACCCAGGAAACGGTGTGCCAGAAATCGTGAAAGGTTGCTACTACAAAGTTCATGAAAGGTTGCTACTACAAAGTTTTTCAAGTTAAATAAGGAGTGGGTTGGGGTTGATGGGCACTTGTTACATTAGGATTTGAGGGTGAATGGATGGCTGTTCTACGGTGGTGAAGAGTATTCACTAATTATGAATGGTAACTTAGAATAAGAAGATGAGATCAAGAAGAATAGGGAGCATTCGGGTATCTCATCTACTAAAATCTTTTTGTTCCACATTCAAAGTTAAACAATGGCAGAAAACACACACACACACACACTCTTTCTCTTTCTCTCTCTCCCCCTGGCAGTACTACGGTTTAGTTGGACAAAATTTTGTTTTGAAAAGAAAAGATATATTTCCAATGTAAATTCCCAACATTTGCATCAGGTTAATGTTTTTTTTGAAGAAAGAAAGGAAGGGTGGGGGGTAACAATTCAACTGCATTTTCTTCCCTGAATTATTTAAATTTCTATAGATTATTCTGCATAAAAGATTAATGTCTATCTGCAATTTTACAACTTCAAATGTCATATCAACCCTTCACTACAATTCTAATTGTTCACATTGAAGTTTGATCTATTGCTTCCTATAAGGAATATTGACCCAATAAGTCTTTTGTTCCCATTCTGGAATTCAATGTAGGTGCCTCCTCAATCAAGAAGCTATTCTAAGTTGGATGTTTATAACTTATCCAAATTTCTTTTGCTAGCTATTTTTTCCACTTTTTAGTTTATTTGTCTAGTCTTTTTGTTTGATTTGAATAAGTATGCCAATTTGCTACTACAGTAGGGAAGTTATTGTAGATGGAGTTCTAGGGTTTTGGGAAGACAAAGAAGCTAAGGTCCTGAATTGTGCACCAATGTCAATTCTTTGATGATTTGATTAGAGTGGAATGCAAGACTTTTCAATGGTCTTTGCCTTTCATTAGATGTGTTAGTGGATAAAATTGTGTTCCTGGCCTCTTTTTGAACCAAAGCCAGCAGATTTTTCGGAGAGTTGCTTCAGTTGGATCTTCATCAAAATTGGAAGGTGGCTCTCATTTAGTTTTTTGCACTATCTTTCTATTCTTGAATTGTACTTTGTCTTGCTTTTGTTTGAGGATGTCTTGTCATCAACATTGTAACTCTATTCTTGATTCTTATCTATAATAAAATTCTTCTGTTTTAAAAGAAGTGTGCCACTTTGCTATTGATATTTTATTTCTTTTTTCTTTCCGGCCTTTCAATTTTATGCTTCTCCCCAAATCCATCACTTCTTATTGTAGACCCAGTCACCATCTCTGATCTGGTTATAGATGTGACTAGTTCAGACTGTGACATCATATATCGCTCTTTCTTTTCCCCCCTCTGTTATATGTTCTTTTTCCTCATATTGATTCTTGTCAATTCCCACCTCCACTCAACTCAACAAAGTATTATTGCAATTATTTGGTGTATTGTTCTATCCTTCGCGACATGATAATCCTTAGTATTTGTTACCTCTCTCAAGTTGGGACACTAGTTTAACTAAATAGAGCTTTCTGACTTTGACCGACCTTAAATTCGTACCTGGACGTTGCATTCGCATGGGTTATAGTTAGTGTCAAACTGTATTGTATCATATCTTTTTTTTTTTTTACAATCTCGGTTAGAATTAATTTCGGTCTATCCCTATTCCTTAACTCTCATTGGGCTCCTTGCTAATTCGCACCTAGGTTGAGATAATTCATAAATGCTGGAAGATAGTAATACAACATGGAAGACGTGGACTCAAATAAATAAGCTTCCAAGTTGAATGCTTAATACCTGAATATAAATTCCTAGGGCAGTAGGAAGGTGGCAGGTCATTCTTAATACTGACAAGAATCATGGTAAATATTGAGATTGGAGGTTAAAAATGCCAAGAAATTTAATTATAGTAGAACATCACCTGATGTGAATCAAGGAATCTCTTTTTTCGTCCTCCTCGTACACAATTGACTTGTCTATATGGCTTAAGGTCGCAGTATTGGTCATCGACTTGATGGGTTCTGAGACACATTGGTTGTGGTATCACGGCGTGTTATCAGACGATATGACCTAAAAGAAGAAGTTGAACGTAGAACCGTATCATTTGATTCAGAGACAATAACACGGCGACTCGGGATTGACTCGAAGACGACACGGCCGATTCCGGCGAGATTTGGGGTTTATAAATGATGTGGAATGGTATCGACTCAGAAGATGTTGAGTCGGATACGACTTGGTCAACTTGTATCAATATTGGCTGCTACTTTGAACCTCGCTTGTCTATAGCCCTCACAGCCACATTATCCAGTTATGCTGAATAGGCAAGGAGCAATAGAGTTAGGGTTGAGCGTTGAATTGTTGAAGTAGGAACATGCAAGGAATACAAGGAAAAAGTCAACCATTAGTCTAAAGCAGCCCCAACTTAATGAAGAAGGGTTAACATCCAAATGGACAAGTTGTTTTACGGGTGACACTTGGTAACATCGATAACCTAAGCTGGAGACTTGCCTAATAGAATAAATGTGAGTTCTACTATTTTAGGATGTATTTTGTGATGGGGATTTCTTTGTTGCATCATCCTTTGAAAAAACTTGCTTTAAAATGCACTAGCAACCTATGCATTGTAAGTGTTATCCTTTTCTTGAAGTGCTTTTCATATATGAATATCAATGAAAGCTAATTTAGGCGATGATGTGCAAAATCTAACGTTTGTACTGACTGAAGCATCTACTTGATATTCTTTTGACCCAATTTTTATGGCTTGGTTTTGTACTTTTTGTTTCTGAGTGATTGATCCGTGAATTTTTAATGCACTGGTTGGAGTTGACACAACTTTCTTATGCATTTTTCCTACTCATATAATTACTGATGTATAATTTATTATTCCAGTGTTTATACACTGAAAGTTTTCATGTTGTAGTTCACGATGTCTAATAGTTGGAGATGTACAGATACAATCAGTGGGAGAAAGCATCTCCATGGTTAGTTGGGACTAATCCTAGGGATGCAATGATGCCTATAGATGGTGATGATGGCTTTTTTCCAACCACTGGCAATGAATTGGTTTGTATGAATTCCTCCTATCCTCGCTTCTTTGCAATGGTGATTTTGGAGGTCCACTTTTAACTTCAATTAATTCTGCAGAAGCCAGAAGTGGTTAATTCCAGTCGCAAATATCGTGTTCGCGTGCTGGTATGTGCTCCATCCAACTCCGCACTTGATGAGATTGTGTTGCGCCTTCTAAACACTGGTACGAGTGTCTGTCCAGCACATAATTATCTGGTTAATGAATCAGTCTAGTTTGATCTTGGAAAGAAATTCTGAATAGTGGAAGTTAAAATGATTTAGATATTAAGGATTTTGGCTGTGAGTGGAACCTTGAAAGATATGAGTGTACAGTTGATTATAAACGACTCAATATTGGAACCATCCAATATATCGTAAAACCTAGACAATATCATTACATCTTCTTTATTAATATGACGGAGCCTCTGGGGAAATCATTTACCAGTTCTGGTTGAAGGTATATGCACACAGATTACATGCTATCAAAGTTGACTAACAAACTTTTGTGCACTATGAGAGAAGACTTTATTGTTGTATCAATTTGGGCCAAATCCATGTATTTTAGGCTGTATGATGATGAACATCAGGTGTGTCTAATCATCTTGGTCATGCTCATGTGAGGATGGATTCATCTGCAGACTTAAAGTATGCACCACTTGTTAGAATTGCAAAAGGTCTTATGCATGTTTGCCAGCTAATATTCAAAAATTCTTGTCTGTTTTTAGTACCTGATTAGGACCAAAGCACCAAGTATATCTTTCAAGGTTTTTAGGTTTTACTTGGAGTTGGAGCAAAATTGGTACTTAATTTAAATTTTTTCTTTTCAAATTTGTACTACCAACCTAGGAAGCACGAACACTTCATTTTGGGCAAAGTGTCGGTGTCGAACATGTCTGGGACATGGACACGTTGGGATACGTATCGGACACGTTAAAATGAGTGTTTGATTTTTTTATTGTTAAATTTTTTTTAGGACACGTTTTGGACACATTGGGGACACGCAGTCGACACGTTCAGGACACGCTGGGGACACGTTTTGGGATTTATTTTCAATTTTTTAAGAATTTTTCAGATTACATTGAACGCAGGACATGAATTTAACATAATTTTGGATACGAATACAAACTAATATACAAATGAAATAGTTTTTTAATATGAACGGAATGTGAGAAAAAATGGGATTACAAAATTTGAGGTCTTGAAATTTGATGAAAATTAGTATTACAAAATGAAATATTTTTGAAAGTAAAAGTTGTAGAAATCATTGATTATTGAATCATGAATGTTAATGTTGAATGTGTATCAATATATCTTATATTGTACTTTTTATGCAGTAATATCATGATGTGAATTTTTAGAATTAGAGAAATGATGAATTAAAAGAATATTATGATAATATTTTTATTTTATCACATGATTTATATATATATATATATATAAATACATATTATTTAACGTATCACTTACATGTCAGTGCTGTGTCCTACTTTTTAAAAAAATTTCGTGTTGGTGTGTCCGGGTCGTTTCATATCTGTCTCGTATCCGTGTCCGTGCTTTTTAGCTATCAACCAACCAAACAAATCAAGCTTATGTCCCAATTATTTGGGGTCGGCTATATGAGTCCGTCTTCGCTATTCATTTCGGTCATGTGTTATATGCTCATATATGTTAAACATTTTCATATCTTTTCTTATTATTTCGTCCAAATGTTAATTTAGATCTACTCCTACTCCTAATACCATTAAGAAAAATTCTATCACTTTTTCTAACCCCTTGCTCTATTTGCCTATGTTGTACATGACCGAACTACCTTAATCTATTCTCTCTCAACTTATCTTCAATTGGAATTACTCCTACCATTTCTCTAATACGGTCATTTCGTATTCTATCATTTCTAGTTTTTCCACATATCCACCTTAACATTCTCATTTTCAAATTCGTACTGCTGGGTTCTATTCCAAGTTGCCCAATGCTGTGTAACTGCAGTCACACTTGAAGTTGCTTCGGGTGTCTTGCTATTGATAGTATATGTTTTATTTGGCGTACCAAGGTGATTTTATGGTTTGGGGGAAGGAAACTCCTAAAACAGAAGATATCATTGAGCTGTGATTCAATTGATGCACTAGACAGTAACATTGCCATTGAAATCAGAAGATGTAAGAAAGCACTATTTATAATCTATGGCTAGACCTAGAAGGCTTGAGAACCCGACATAAAGTCCTCAACCTTTAGGTTTGTAACAGAGTGCACGAAGCATTGAGAGCTCCAGGGCTGGGATTTTTCGGGTTCCTCCTTCCTTTGAGTCTTCTCTGTTCACTTTCCAAAAGCTTTAATTTTAGTTTATATGTTTTCCTACAATGACCAACTGGTATGCATTCATAAAGTAAACACTCATCAAGTTCGTCCCTTGAAATAAAAAGATGTTTACTTTCTGTTGTTTTATGGGACAATGGGTTAGTTTAAGATACTCCCAAGCATTCTCAAGTCTAGTTTGGCTCTCATATATGTGATTGAGGCATTTGATCAACCATTAGACTTTGGTGATTATAATTTTATATGGAAGCTTTTGGCCTAACTTTTCTCTTGGACATGCTTGAGCTAATTATTTATTTCACTTTATGTTTTGGGAGTTTTAAATTTTTGACATGTTGAGAATCAGACCATGGCACTCAGACACATAAAACTAGTATTTTTATACCTGCTAATAAAAAGCTTCCATCATGGATAATCAATACTGCTTTCTGGTTATTGTAGGTATTCGTGATGAAAATGACCGTGCATACAATCCTAAAATTGTGCGAATCGGTCTTAAACCTCATCATTCTGTCCAGGCAGTTTCCATGGATTACCTTGTATGTACCTGGCAATCATCAAGACATTTCTGATAGTCATGTAATTATTGTTATCATTGACTTTATTGGATTGTGACCAAACAAGATGACATGGACAGCATACCTATGTAGGTTGAACAAAAACTTGCAGGTATGGACTTCCAAACTGGTGATAAACAAAAACAAGGAGGTGCAGGAAGAGATAAAGACAGTATTCGTGCCTCAATTTTGGATGAAGCAGCAATTGTATGAAATTTTGGCCTTGTGTTGGAAAATTGAAAATAAATGTCACTGTAGTAACTTTTACTGGTTGACAGGTCTTCTCCACCCTCAGCTTCAGCGGTTCAGTTCTTTTTAGTAAATTAAATCGCGGATTTGACATTGTTGTCATAGATGAAGCTGCTCAAGCTGTAGGTTTCTTTACCTTTATGACTTTTAATATAGTTTCAATCTTAATACGTGTTTCTGTAGTATGCCACCATGATTACTTCTTCAGCTATTATTGACATGTTAAGGAGTGGCACAATTGTCTGTAAATTAAGCAGGAAGGCACCTCAGTATATACAATGTTTTTGATGAAGTATAGGTGGATGTCATTAGGCAGCAGCAATGGTCTTAATGTCACTGTTGGAATGTAGTTCTTTGTCACGTGAATCAGCTTTGCTTGTAATTATAATGTTCCTTATTTTTTGTTTACAGGTGGAACCATCAACACTTGTTCCCTTGGCCAATGGATGTAAACAAGTATTTCTGGTATGTATCCTATCTTAGTTTTGCTACAGGATATCTTCCTAGATCTGAGAATTTTTTTTTTCTGCCATATGGTACTTACTTTCCTAGTTGTTCAGAGATATGGTTAAATCCCATATGTTAACTCTGTAATAGTCCACTAATTATTTACACATTAAGTCTCAGACTATTATTCAATGAGGGAATGTTTCAGTTTCAGGACAGACTAGGGTACTGTGAATAAGCAGAAATTACAGAACATATTGATGCCATGTTTGAACTTGTGGATATATCTTTGATCAAAAAAAAAAAAACTTGTGGATATATGTAACCTATTTTTGAACTGTTTCACTATTTTAGAGAGCCAATACAAGTCTGTGGATGTCTATTTGGTCAAACATTGATGCTTCTAGAAAGCATGAGTACATATGGAACTTACTTCTGCTTTTGTGGACGTCACTCTATCCTCATCAAGATCCATGCCATGCTAACATCTCTTGTCCCTTCCTCCTTCCAATTTTCTGTTGAGGAACCATTTATACTTAAATGCTTTTCAGGTTATTTTTTCCTCCTTTTTCTTAAGTAGCTACTTCTTTTTCTTTTTCTTCTTGAGGTTGGTGATCCAGTACAATTGCCAGCCACCGTAATTTCTCCTATTGCTGAGAAATTTGGGTAAGAATTCTATTTGGTGATGAGGATACATTACATGTCTTTGTAGCTTAGGACTATAATTTTTGTGTTCTCTGGGACCTTGTGTATAGATATGGAATGAGCTTGTTTAAAAGATTCCAGAGGTCTGGCTATCCAGTACAGATACTGAAGACTCAATATCGCATGCATCCCGAGGTCAGTTTAAGTTTTCCTAGAAATTATTGTCAAGACTAGTGTTTATGATTACAGTTGATCAGAGTAACACACTGTTTCTGAAGCTTATACTTGTGAGTTATGATGTAGTATGTAACAGATTGGTCCACCAAGCTCTTTTCACTTCAAAGATGATGTTTGTTACAGAATGCAGTTTTTGATACAGTGAAACCATCCAGCAACTGATATGATTTATCATCCCTATTTTTTTTTTTTCAGAATATTTGTATACTGAGTGGTTCTAGTCCTATTAACCATGCAGATAAGAAGCTTTCCTTCAAGGGAATTTTATGACGAGGCGCTGGAGGATGGGCCTGATATCCTAGACCAGACCAAGCGTTTGTGGCATGAATACCGCTGCTTTGGACCTTTTTGCTTTTTTGATATACATGAGGGAAGAGAGTCCCAGCCCTCTGGAAGTGGATCTTGGGAAAATGTTGATGAGGTTGAGTTTGTCCTCCTCATGTATCAGAAATTGGTGACTAGATATCCAGATCTCAAGTCAAGTTCCCGACTTGCAATTATATCCCCATATAGACATCAAGTCAAGCTCTTCCGTGATAGGTTTCGGAATACTTTTGGCGTGGAGTCAGACAAAGTAGTGGATATCAACACTGTTGATGGGTTCCAGGTAATGTCTCCTCTACCTCTTGTTTTGTTTTGTTATATCCACTTGTTACGCCTAAATTTTTTTTCGTGTTCGCGTACATTAGCCACATTTACCTTATTCCGTAAATATTGTTGCATCATTTGGTTTACATTGGTTGCATGATATTGTAGTTTATGTTCATGTCCTAGGGCTAGATATTACCTCAAGAGATTTTTGTGGGCACCATCAAAGATGTTGCAGCTTTTTCAATAGGTTGTCGTAATATTTTGCTAACCAACAGATCTGCATATATCTCGTAAAACCAACTCTCTGATTTTGTTTACAGGGACGAGAAAAAGATGTTGCAATCTTTTCATGTGTTAGGGCGAACAAGGATAGGAGCATTGGGTTTGTGGCTGATTTTCGACGAATGAATGTCGGTATTACCAGAGCAAGGTCTTCTGTTCTGGTATGGCTTTATTCAATATGATGTTTTCCAGAAGCATTTTCATAAAATTTCACAAGCTTGATCCCATCATTTACGAGCTTGGTTCCATTGTTTTACTAGGTGGTGGGTTCTGCATCAACATTGAGAAAAGATAAGCACTGGCGAAATCTTGTTGATAGTGCTGAGCAGAGAAATGCCCTCTTCAAGGTAGAGTTGCAATTACCTGATCAAGTGACCTTAGGATTTCATATTCTTTCCTTCATGAAAAAGACTTTTGAGTCCATTGAGAAGTCCCAATTTTATCTTGCCTTTTGTATTGACTTCAAATAAATCCAATGATATCAATTCAATATATTTTTGTCTGTTGTTTCATGAAAAAAGAATTATACTTAAATTTTGAATAATAGCTGAACGGTGATGTCATAGTGTATATTTTTTTCCTTTTTCATTGCCACCTTAACTTGCATTTTTGCACAGCTGGTTTGCAATGTCTCATGCTTCGTTATCTTCCTGTATAGTCCCGCATCTTGAATTCGTTATTTTCCCATGTAGATCTGCACCTTGAAATAATCCCATTGGTGATCATAAATATTTATATGTTTGTGTGAACAACTGCTAACAAGCTCCTCTCAGGTGTCAAAACCCTACACTGAGTTTTTCAGTGATGCGAAGCTTAAATCCATGGCAGTGGATTCAATGCCAGACCGTCGTCCTGAGGAAGCTTCCGATGATATAGAAATTACTGTGCCCACTGATGGTAATGTTGCATTCCCAGAAGAAGCACCAGCGGAAGATAATGACTGGGGAGATGGAGACGGTGAAGGGTTTGATGGGGGCTTTGACGAGGACTGAGTTATGAAGCGGAAGCAGATGATAACGAATGGGAAGATGGAGACGGAGAAGGTTATGGCGTACGCCCCGCGTTGATGAGAGCTGAGTTGACCTATTTCAACATAACAATGTCTGGCTATATGATGATGGGATTTTGGTCACTTTACTGCAGCTTGATCCGAACCCAATTTGAAAAAAATAAGATTTGGATTGAGGTTTTTAATACTTGTATTTGACCTGAGCCGAAAAGTATCAACCCAAATTGAATTCGGACAATACCCAAGTTGACGACTTAGGTTACCAAGTTCAACTCAAATATATAAATTAGATTCAACCCGAATGTATTTAAAAATAAATATATAAATCAATAAATTCAATAATATAACTTACAACTAGGGTCTATACTTCACAATTTACTTTAACAAATCTAACAATAATTCTAATTCGAAACCAACTCGAATTAAGTAATTTGAACTCAATTCGAATTCTAACTTGAGATCAGTGTGAATTAAATAATTTGAATTCAACCCTAACTTGCTTGAATTTAACTTAGGCAATACTTGAGTCGAGTACCTCTGATTAGAGTTGAAAATTATAAGTCTAGCGTTGACTCTTTAACTCGTCCGAATAGCATCAGTATGATATAAACTTGATGTGCGCATGAGATTTTTTGTTTAAATTAATGACAATTTTAAAGAAAAATATCATATTGAATTAAATTGCATACTTAAAAAATTAAATTAAAATAAAAAGTAATTTGAGAATTTAATTGATACAAACGACATAATAAGATCATCAATATTACTTATCGCATGTGAAGAAGGTAATACCAAAAGTTGTTTGATGATGAAGTAAGGAGAGTCAAATCACACAAATGCAGCTTCAAACTTGAAAGCCAAGAACAAAGGAACAAAGGAACAAATTGACAAGATGAGAGGAAACTAATGGATATGATTTTACCACGTGTCTTATGTAGAACAAGTAGTTGTGGGGTAGATGAAGTGCTCCAGTGTGGTTTCATCATTGGTCACTGGGCAGTCAAAAGTTTTCTCATCAAACGGCTTAGACTTGTCCGGCGTCTTATCCGTGACTCCGACCATCACCTCCGGTGTCACCACCGGTATAGCACCGGGAAATGGATTCTTGTCCCTGAGTTCTTCTTCTTCTTCCTTATCAACTAATCCGACCAGGGAAGTCATCCTCAATTGCATCAGTTTTGGGTCTCCGTGGTGATCTTCGTATGTTTTGCAGTCAGAGAGCCAAAGAACATCGGGATTATCAGTCTGACATATAGCCGGCACCGGTGGTTCAATCGTTGAAGCAAAAGTCTGATCGGATGAAATGTTCGGCAAAGAATCATTTGCCGAAGAAAGGGAAGCATCTCCCGGAGAAACCGCCGGTGAAATTACATGAATACTGACAGTTTCAGGCACCGGAGACACGACCGGACTGACCACCGGCGAGGAAAAGCTTTGACTACCGGTGAAATTAGCTGCTGGAGGTGGCGCATGGATATGACCTACCGGCGGAAGTGAGAAATTAAGATTACCAATGAAATCTTCCGGCGAAGGAGACGCTGAACGGTGATCTACCGCCGGCGATTGTGAACTATTATCAACGAAGAAATTTGCAGGTGCAGGCTGAGGCGTCATTTGTGGCGATAAATGACGCGATGCAATCTGAGACCTTAGACTAAGAATTCCTCCCAATCCATGAACAGCAACATCTCTGCCATAGAACAAGCCAGGCATAACAACAGCAACTCCGTCAACGGTGATGACGTCATACTCCGGCCCTCGCCTCCTCTCAATAAGAATATCACGATTTTTCAGCATCGTATCGAAGACAGTAACAGAGGGAAGTCCTCTGAGATCGTCGAGAGCGAGGCGTTGTGGAACGACGTGGTACCGGAGAATGGTGGTGTAGTCCGACGCCGTGTTGGTCATGTCGAGAGCGAAGAGATTCGAGTCGGTGGGAGCAAAGAATGTGAAGTTAGATCCGTCGATGACATCGTAGAGGACGTCAGAGACGGCGATGGCGTTGCAGAAGAGATTGTAGCCTCTGGCTCTGAGGACTGAGAGCATGGAATCGATTTCATAAACCGGAATGGAGTTGACTGCGCTGGGCAGAGAGATGAGGAGGAGAGTGAAGAAGAGTGTCAGGATATTGCCGGAGAGGTGACCGTTATCGGACGCCATTGCCGGAGAAGAAGAGAGTTCCGAAGCGGTCCTTGGTTCTTGGGGGGTAATGGGAGGATTTTGGCGGGGTTTTCTTCGATTGAAGTTGAAATAAACGTGAATGTTAGTTATGGCTGTTGCTGTTAATTACGACGTTGCCATGGACTATTGATAGGACGATAATACCCCTCATAGTATCAACAAAGCACGCTGTTATTGAGTTGGGCTCAAAATCCTGGGCTCAGGGCTAAAGGTCCTTAACTTGAGTTAGAGTTACATTGTGTTGGCCCATACAAGATGATAATTGGGAATTCACAAGTATGGATTCATTACCATCTCTTTCCCTTGTTTTTAATTTCCTTTTTTTGTTAGGGATCGGATTTGAAGCGATGACAAGAGTTTATACGGTCAAATGTATAGAGTAATGCTACATGGACTTAAAATGTAGACCTGTTAATCTTAACCATTGATTTCACAGTCGAGAATCATACTCTCAACATGGGAGTGCGGCTGCTTATCAAATACGTTTCCGAAATTTCGCTATAAATAGAAAATCTTGTATTCCCACATCCGTATGCATTATACACGATAAGACTTGTGCATTACAATGAAAAGTTCACAATGGCAACAAAAAAAAATTGGGTTAGTTGTTAAACTTATGTAGGCCCAAGGCCTTTGTTGAACATCCCTACAATGGCCTTGAGCATCACCTGAATGTAACCCATCAAAGGCTTTAAATCTACACCATTCAATGAATCAGACCTAGATCTGAATTTGAATCCACTTGGTCATGAAATAATTGATTTTTTTTTGATAGATACGTCGATTTTCAATTCAAATCCACTTTATTATTTCCAAATATAATTATTATTCGCTTTGAATTACACATATGAATAATTGAATATAACTTTAAGTAATTACTTGATGAAATTGAATTAAAATTTTGTATTTGATTTGGTAAAATTTTACTTTAATTAAGTTAATCGGATGAGATCGAACCTAGGGTTGGATTTTCAACCTTTAACAAAGATATAGTAATTAAGAAACTAATATTTTATGAATATTCAAATCAAATTCAGGTTGATCTTTAAAATATAATTTATGAGGTGTCATCAGTTTGTAAATTTACATATAAGTCCATGCTCAAAGTACTTGTAACTCATGTGCTTCAATTTATATCAAAAAACTAAACGATAATCTGAGTCATGGTCACATTTCTACCAATTCATAAATTGAGTGAGCAAATTGAGGTATTAAATGTTTGAGGCTATAAATTGAGAATCGAAATATCTTTCGAGGTATAAAGTGAGATTAGTTAAAAAAAAAAAAAACCTTTAGTTGAGTTTAAGATCTTCATGATCTAAATAAGCCCCAAAGATACTATTGGGAATCGATTCAGTAGTTAAATCTATATGAATTCATTTTTGTTCTTTCATTCTGGGTATAATACAACACGGAATTAGATAGTTTAAGTCTTTCTTAAATTATTTATTTTATAAATGAGTGGACACACGACACGACATGATTAATAAATGAATCGGGTACAAGTTAAGTTAATAAAAAAAAAATACACGACACAAATCTAATATGACATGATTTGTTGGACATAAATTAATAAACGAATCGGGTATAAGTAAAATATTTTTTAACACAAACCCACTAAAACTTAACACGAATAAGATACAAGTAAAGCTAATCACCTTTTCTTTTTTGGGGGGAGGGGGAGACAAATAGGCACGTTTGAATCCAATTTTGATATGAAAAAGATTACTCTATATAACACAAAATTAGATTGGGTTTCCGTGCCCAATTTTCAACCTTTAATGATTGAATATGGACAGTGAAATTAAAATCTACAATTTAATCAAACCGAATTCATATCAAAAATTTTAAATCGAATTAAGATTTAAATCGATTGAAATCCCAACCTACTTAAATCATGATTAAAATAAACTATACGAGGTCGGCACACCGTACTAACTTCCACACCTCCCATCGTTTTTACTAATCAGCCCATACAACTCCTCATTATTCATTCGTCATGTCCAAGACTTGAGCATCGGAGTGGATGTAGAGGCCACATGTGGAGGGCTCAAATCTCACCCTCACTTCCCCCACAATAAATAATAAAATATCAACAAAAGAAAAACTTTAAATTTAAATATAATCAAAGTGGCGAATCAATTCAATGATCGAGGAATATAGAACTTTGAAAGATTAGATGATATGATCTGATCGAAGAGAGAATTAGTCGAAATGTACGTAAATTGATTTAGACATTCTTATAATAACAAAAAAATAATAATAATTAGGTGAGAGGTCAACATTGTTGCACCCCAATTAGTTGAGTACAATGTAACATCTTAAGGGTGAGGAGAATTAGGTTTTCAATGTTACCTAACATTTTTCAATATTCACTGAAAATAAATTTTATTTTTAAGGTTAATTATAAAATGTCCCCTCTAAATTTGGGTTATGTTATAATCAACTCCTCATGGTTTCAATTTAAACAATTTGGCTCTTTCAAGTTTTCATTGACCTGAATTAACTGATGAAATAGACGAATAAACATAAAAGTCCTAAAATACAACTCCAACAATAACCTTATTTTTTCCCCTCTTTCTTGAGATGGTTCGTGTTAAAAAATATTCAACATATAATTAATTCGTTTATTAATTGGCGTCTAACGAATCGTGTCATATTAAATTTATTTTGTGTATGAATAATGTATAATCGACATATAAACAAGTCGTGTCGTATATTTCTTTTGATTGGTTTTACATATACCCAATTAATTTATTAATTGTGTAGTATCGCGTACACTCATTTACGAAGCGGATAACT